AAAATGAGTTTGACACCCCTGGTCTAAGCTCTACCATCATGTGTGCGCAGAGTGTTCAAATGAAATGCATAATCAAGGATGTCCTATAATTCCATACATTCAGTATTTTGGAAAACGTTCAGAATGTAAAATACATTTAATTAGAATGCCCTGCAGGATTGTTAAGGCATGGGTTTGATGCAGCCTCCCAAGTGCATTGCTATTACACATGTCCATTGTGCTACCTTAATTAAACCACATAAAGATGACACTAGGCTACTACCAATTTACCACACACAAATGGGGCGGTTGGTTTACAATTTGTATTCTGACAATGAAGGAATGTTTCCATCATCTTGGTGCAGTACCCACCTTTTAAAACTCACCCCATATTATGCCTAATGGTCAGAAAGCTTGTTAAATGACACTCAAATCAAATTAATTGCAGTATTATGGCTATTGTGTAAACAGAAAAAGTTTCCTCACTGAAGGGACTATTCAACTGAACTTAAAAAATAAAGAAGGAAGAGGAAACGCTGCAGAGGATCAGATTATCATCCTCGACTGATAAAGCAACTGCCGTAAGTGTGTGTGTGTGTGTGTGGGCGTGCGCGCGTGGGTGCGCGTTTGCATGTGCGGGAAGTCATAACAGGAAAAACACATGGCAGAGACATCAGCAAGCTGTAAATCAGCAAGTTGAAAGATATGACTTCTGTTTTCATTTTCAAAGTGTGTCAGAGCAGCAGTAATAACATCCTTGCTTATCTCATCCCTCTTCTCCACTCTGCTGCTCTGCAAATTCACATTCACATGTTCTTGCAATTTTGAAATCAAGATTGTTTTTTATAAACAAACAAAAGCAATTTTGGCCATCTAATGAAAGGAGTATTGAAAGCAATCTGCAGTGCGTGCAGCAGAACATATGATATCGTCTTTTTTAATCAAAACTGTGTGCCTATGTTACATGAAATGTAGCACGACGGCCGACACTTGGCCTTGGACCTGAGGCAGAGTTTAGCACTATGCGATGCTGTCTGGTAAACACACTGCTTTCTAACTTGTAGTCTTCAGTGCCAACTGAGGCTGACTCAAGTGACATCACATCAGACTCATGCATATCCTCTTGAGATATAAAAGGCAGAGTGTAGAAATCCTGTCGAGCAGTCCCTTTGAACAGCCCATTAGACGAAGAAAAAGAGCGAGAGTGACCCGCGTCAGCCCAGTTCGATTGTGCACCAGCTCACAACCCAGTTAACCCAGCAGTACATGTTCTACTCACAGTCCGGGCTCCACAGCTGGAGCAGTGAGACTGAAGATTGGAAAGTCAGGGAGAGGTTTTGGCTATTTGACGATATTGGAGGCCTTTGGTTCAAACAGTTTCAACTTCAAAACAAAGTCCATGCGCTGGTCTATGTCACTCTATTCGTGAGCAATTACAGACTAGATTGGGGTGTGACATTTAAAAATGGTCAATGTGCTACAGCAAACTTTTGAAAAGTTAAACTCATCGATCTGCATAAATAGTTATGATTATTGATTATCTGGTACTTTGCATTAATAAAGTAGACAATAACAAACATTTTCCAACACATGATGATTTAATGAAGTTGTCACAGTGACATGACATTTTGTAGTTTCCTGCCTCTCGTTGTACCTCGTTTAGCTTCACTTCCTGCTCTGTTGTGTCTCTCCTGTGATTGTCTGCCATGTTCCTGATTTTCTTCCTTTTGTCCAGTCACCGTCACCTCGTCTCTTGTTGGTCTCGTTGAGTTTTTGGTTTGTGTTTATTATTGCTATTGAATGTAGATGGGTGTCAGCCCTATTTTTTAAGTTTATTAGTTCATGTTGCAGGTCATAAGGCACCACCTTTCTGTGTGGTTCTACGGTCTACTTTGTTTTAGTTTCAGTTTGGAATTTGGACTATGGATGGATTTATGTCATCCATTGGAATGCTCTGCGTAATTCATTTTTCTTGTTTCCAGATAACCAAAGATAACTTTCCCAGTCTGCACATGTACATTATATTAGATATCTAATCTAGCCGGCCCGAACTCCGTCTCTCTCCGCATCCTGAAGCATTGTGCTGACCAGCTGTCTCCGGTGTTCACTAACATCTTCAACACCTCCTTGGAGACATGCCACGTACTAGCCTGCTTCAAGGCCTTCACCATCATCCCTGTTCCCAAGAAGCCCAGGATTACAGGACTCAATGACTACAGATAGATGTAGATACACACAGAATATGTCCCTTCCTCACTCAGAAGGCAGCGCAGGTACTGATTCAGGCTCTTGTCATCTCCCGCCTGGACTACTGCAACTCCCTCCTGGCTGGTCTCCCTGCTACCGCCATTCGACCTTTGCAGTTCATCCAGAATGCAGCAGCTCGACTGGTCTTCAACCTTCCGAAATTCTCCCACACTACTCCACTCCTCCGCTCTCTTCACTGGCTACCGGTGGCCGCCCGCATCCAGTTCAAAACATTGGTGCTCACGTACCATGCTGTGAATAGATCGGGTCCAGCTTACATACAGGACATGGTCAAACCCTACATCCCGACCCGCACACACCGCTCTGCAAAACTGCTTGTCCCTCCCTCACTGAGAGCAAAACACTCGACTAGATCACGACTCTTTACTGTCCTTGCTCCGAAATGGTGGAACGAGCTCTCTGAAGACACCAGGACCGCAGAGAGCCTTCACATCTTCCGCCGCAAACTAAAGACACACCTCTTCAGACTCTACCTCGACTAAAAGACTAACAAACAAATTGTAGCACTTAAATTGTACTTGTAACGCCACTTATCTATAGCAAAAAAATGTCCCTATGGTTGAATGCACTTTTTTGTATTGGGGCCAACAGGTCTGTAGATGATGCTGTCAACATGACCCTCCACTGCATCCTCCAGCATCTGGACTCCCCAGGAACCTACGCTAGGATCCTGTTTGTGTACTTCAGCTCTGCCTTCAACACCATCATCCCGTCTCTGCTGCAGGACAAACTCCCCCAGCTGCACGTGCCCGGCTCCACCTGGAAGTGGATCACAGACTTCCTGTCCATTAGGAAGCAGCACGTGAAGCTGGGGAAACATGTCTCAGCCTCCCGGACCATCAGCACCGGTTCCCCCCAAGGCTGCGTTCTTTTCCCTCTGCTCTTCTCCCGTCCGTCAAGCTCCTGAAGTTTGCAGATGACACCACCCTCATTGCACTGATCTCTGGTGGGGATGAGTCCGCCTACAGGTGGAAGTTGACCATTTGGTGTCGTGGTGCAGCCAGAACAACCTGGAGCTCAACGCTCTAAGGACAGTGGAGATGGTTGTGGATTTCAGGAAGAACAGAGCCCCACCCTCCCCCATCACCCTAGGTGACTCCCCCCCGTCACCCCCGTCTTTGATTCCTTCCGTTCACCCAGGACCTCAAGTGGGAGCTGAACATCAACTCCATCACCAAGAAGGCTCAGCAGAGGATGTTCTTCCTGAGCCAGCTGAAGAAATTCAACCAGGCAAAGACGATGATGGTGCACTTTTACAAGGCCATCATCAAGTCCATCCTCTGCTCCTCCATCACCGTCTGGTACGCTGCAGCCACAGCCAAGGACAAGGGCAGGCTGCAGCGCGTCATCCGCTCTGCAGAGAGGGTGATCGGCTGCAATCTGCCGTCTCTTCAGGACTTGTTCACTTCTAGGACCCTTAAGCGAGCTAAAAAAAGATTGTAGCCGACCCCTCACCCCGGACAAAAACTTTTTGTGCCTGGCAGGAGAGTGAGGTCCATCAGGACTAAGACGATGGACACATAAACAGTTTCTTCCCGTCAGCAGTCAGGCTCATCAACAGAGCCCGGTCCCCCACTTACTGACACTGTCATTCCACCAGTCACTTTCACTTGTCACTTTCTGTTCGCTTGTGCACTTTATTATTTTTTTTAATTTCTAAATATTTTTTAAATTGTATTGCATTATTTTTAAACTAACCCATAGCCTTATACTACTAACTCATAGCATTATATTTTATTTTATTCCTCGTGAACTGTTGTCTTGTCGTCCATTGTCGTACTGTCTGCTGTTACGCACCAACCGCCAAGACAAATCCCTTGTATGTCTGACATATTATGGCAATAAATGTTTCCTGATTCCTGATGAGGAATCCATCCTAGGAACCTGAGGATGGATTAAAAAGTTAAAAGGAAATTAGATAGATAGATACTTTATTGATCCCTCAAGAGGGAAATTTTGGAATTAGTTGGCTGAAGAAAGCTTGTTACTTGTTGTTATGACTGGGGTCATATGTGTAGTGTTTGTGGGTTTCCTTTTGTGTCTTTTTGTTTTCCCTTTATTCAAACAGGGATGTGCCACCACCAGGCGCGGATTGGTGGACTGTCTCCCACCCGTCCTGTGATTGGCTGCAGCTGGCATATAATGGAAGCCAAGATGGCGTCCGAGGCAGAGCAGGCCAGAGCAGGGGAGGACAGCAGCAGAGCACAACCCTCCTCCTCCTCCTCCTCCTCCTCCTCCTCCTCCTCATCCTCCTCCTCCTCCTCATCCTCCTCCTCTTCCAACCAGCCACTTGTAGCATACCGTGAAGCCGAATAAGTATTCTGTTTTTCTTTTGAGTTGGTTTTCTCCTGTTTTAAAGTAGTTAGGTAGGTAAGACTGATGTCATTATTTTTCTCCTTTGTTTTGGTAGGTCAGCGTCTTATTTTTTAGCTAGGTTCGTTTTTTTTGGTTTGTTTGTTATATTGGTGATGGGCAACAGCGAAGCCGTGGTTTGTTTTTCTCTCAACATACCGGGTTTTTCTCAACCTAGAGCTTTTTTTCAATAAATATCCCCTATATAAACTTAAAGTGTGTGTGGCTACTTGGGAGACGGGGAAGATCTGGGCCTATTCATGTTGCACCTTAGGCACCCCTAGACTGGGGCGTAACATGAATTGGGGGCTCGTCCGTCTTCTTGTCTCGCCTCGTTCTCCGTGTTGTTCTATGGAAGATTTTTTGTCTGGTTGGCAGTGATTTGGTGTGTGGGGGGAATTATGGAGTTTTCACTGGATGAGTTTGTGGCTGGTCCATCTTTTGCTAAAATAGAAAAATGTAAGAAAAAGGACCTGTTGATGGTGGCAAATTGTTATAATGTGCAGGTGCCCTACAGTGCCAATAAGGCGGAGATCAAACGGTTGCTGTGTGCAGAGTTGGTGGAGCAGGGCGTCATACCTGAACCAGCTACTGATGTTGCTGTTGCGGGCGGCGCGGCGGGTGACGCACCGATGGCAGACGTGAAAGCGGCAGGGGCTGCTGGCATGCTCGCTACGGGTGTAGGACTTGAGCCGGTCATAGATCCTGTCATGGGTAACATGACCAAAGAGGATCTCCGCATAGCCCTCCAAATAAAGGAGGTAGAGACCAAAAACAGACAGCTAGAGGTGCAAGCAATGCATCTGCGCATCAGGGCTCTCGAACTGAAAAAGGGAGCCCCGGTAGTCTCCACCCCGATGTCTCCTCTTGACCGCAGTTCTATTTCTACTCCGGCTTTTGACATTAGTAGGCACATAGCTTTAGTCCCTCCGTTTCGCGAGTCAGAGGTTGACTCATATTTTAGCGCTTTTGACCGGATAGCTGCTGCCCTGAGTTGGCCCAAAGAGTTCTGGTCCCTTCTCCTCCAGTGTAAATTAGTGGGGAAAGCTCAAGAAGTCTGTGCCAGTCTGTCTATTGAGGATAGTCTTGACTATAAAATACTGAAAAAGACAGTGTTACAGGCCTACGAGCTGGTCCTGGAAGCATACAGACAAAAATTTAGGAATAGTGATAAAACTGCTAACCAGACATATGTTGAGTTTGTGCGTGACAAGAGCATTGTTTGATAAATGGTGCCAGGCGTGTAATGTTAAAAACATGGCGGAAATCAGAGAGCTCATTTTGCTTGAGGAATTCAAAAAGTGTTTGCCGGAACGAATTGTGGTCTATTTGAACGAACAAAAGAATCATCGGTAACAAAAGCGGCTGTTCTGGCTGATGAGTTCATTCTAACTCATAAAAGTGTTTTTTCTATGCCGGCGCCTCGCGTTTCTCAAGTAATGCCTGAGCGCAGAGTTCGGTCGCCAAAGATGATGCGTAAAAGCACCTCACCAACAGCGGGTGAGGGCCGCGAGTGTTTCTATTGCCATGAGCCAGGCCATTTGATCGCGGTTTGTCCGATTCTTAGGAAAAAAGGACCACACAAAGGTACTAAACCTCCTGCCGGTGTGGGTTTCATAAACACAGTGTCACCACCGGTAAAACATACTGAGCTGTTACCTGAAGAAAAATACGCAGAGGTTGACCCTCGTTTCAAGCCGTTCGTATCTCACGGGTTTGTTTCTGTAACTGGCGAGCAATCGGAAAAAGTGCCAGTAACTATTCTTCGAGATACAGCCGCCTATCATTCATTCATGCTGGCTAATGTGCTGCCGCTCTCCAACGAAACGTCGTGTTCTTCTGATTTGCTAGTGTGGGGAATCAAAATGAGTGAACTTCATGCCCCACTGCACATGATTCACTTGCATTCAGCGCTTGTGTCGGGACAGGTGAAAGTTGCCGTGCTCCCACAGTTTCCGATTAGTGGCGTTTCGTTTATTTTGGGTAACGATTTGGCCGGAGGAAAGGTGTTTCCTCTGCCCGAAGTAGTTAGTGACCCAATTTCGTCGGTGTCTGCTTGCTGTTCACCCTTTGCCTCTTCTGCTGTGTCTGTGCCAAATCTGTTTCCTGTGTGCGCAATTACGCGTGCACAGGCTCGTAATTGGGTGAAAATGTGGATTTGTCGGAGTCGTTTATGGCTACGCTAGTTGAGGGTGAGCCCTCCTGTTCAGTGTCATCCGATGAGTGTGAAAATGTATTAAAATGCATCAATGAGTTTGATCCATTTCCTGCTGACACAGACCTAAGTTTAAATGTGACCCGAGAAATGTTGACTAAAGCCCAGATGAGTGATCCGTCTCTAACTTTTGCTGTCTTCCTCGGCGGCTACAACAGAGGACAGACACAACCAGTTCGGTTTTTTTGGGACAACGGTGTCTTGATGAGACGGTGGAGTCCCGACTCCAGTGAGATGTGCGCTGTAAATCAGGTGGTTGTGCCAACCGACTACCGAGCGCAAATTTTGAGTCTGGCACATGACTCCAGCTTAGCTGGCCACCTGGGTGTTAAAAAGACGTACCATCGTGTGTTGCGCAATTTCTTTTGGCCCGGATTAAAAACTGACGTTTCGAAGTATTGCCGCACCTGTCACACATGTCAAGTTGTGGGAAAGCCCAACCAACCTGTTCCGCCGGCTCCTCTGCATCCGATCCCGGTGCTTGGTGAGCCGTTTGAACGAGTGTTGATAGATTGTGTGGGGCCGTTACCCAGAACTAAATCTGGACATCAGTATATTCTAACGGTGATGTGCGCCGCGACGAGGTATCCTGAAGCTATTCCCCTGCGCACTCTCAGAGCAAAACCAGTCGTGAAAGCTCTCACTAAATTCTTTTCAATGTTTGGCTTGCCTAAAACTATTCAGAGTGACCAGGGCATGAATTTCATGTCCAAATTGTTCGCACAGGTAATGAGAGAGCTAAAAGTTAAACATGTAACATCAAGTCCTTACCACCCGGAGTCTCAAGGCGCACTTGAGAGGTTCCACCAAACCCTAAAATCTATGTTGCGTAAGTATTGTCTTGAGTCTAACCGAGAGTGGGATGAAGGTCTCCCTCTCCTGTTATTTGCCGTGCGTGAAACTCCTCAGGAGTCTTTGGGGTTCAGTCCTTGTGATTTGGTCTTTGGCCATACTGTCCGCGGTCCCCTTCGGCTACTTAAAGAAAAGTGGTTAGCAGAGTCGCCAAAAACTGAACATAAGCTGCTAGATTATGTCAGTTCCTTTCGTGAGCGTCTCAATTATGTGTGTCAGTTAGACAACTTGTCACAAAGTCAAGCTAAAATGAAGAGTCGTTATGACAAAAAGTCTCCGTGTCTTCCAACCAGGTGACAAGGTTTTGGTGCTTCTTCCGTTGCCGGGATCCAGTTTGCATGCTCGGTTTTCGGGTCCGTACACGGTGGAGAGGAAAATTAGTGACACTGACTACGTTGTTCAAACTCCAGATCGGAAAAGAAAATCTAGAGTGTGCCATATTAACATGTTGAAACGTTATTTTTCCAGAGTGAGTGAATCCCCGTTGTCTCTTGCTGCGCCCGTGATGTCCGTGTCCGCTACTCCTCCTCAGTACCACCTAGCCGATGATGGGTTGGCAGAGAAAAGTGGTTTGATGCCGGCCTCGCGTTTGAGAATTTCAGAGGTACTGAGTAATTTGGAGGGTTTTTTGGCCCATCTGTCGGACTCAGCTCTTGCAGATGTTAGGGATTTGATAGAGGATAACCTGTTGCTTTTCTGACCATCCTAGGCAAACGTCTGTCCTGTTCCATGACATTGACGTGGAGGGTCACAAACCCGTTAAGCAACATGCGTATCGCGTAAATCTGGCAAAAAGGGCTATGATGCAGCAGGAGGTGAGCTATCTGGTTGAGCATGGATTAGCTGTTCCCAGTACTAGTGCGTGGAGCTCACCCTGTGTCTTGGTTCCGAAACCCGACCACACTCCTCGTTTCTGTAACGATTACCGAAAAGTAAATTCAGTCACAAAACCTGATTCATTTCCGCTCCCCAGAATGGAAGATTGCATTGATCGTGTAGGCTCCGCTAAATATGTGACAAAGCTGGACCTGTTAAAAGGTTACTGGCAAGTACCGTTAACGCCACGGGCCTCAGAAATTTCAGCTTTCGTCACACCCGATACTTTCCTCCAGTACACTGTTATGCCATTCGGGCTGCGTAATGCACCCGCTACTTTCCAACGGTTGATGCGTATCGTGTTATCTGGTGTAGAAAATTGCGAAGCTTACTTAGATGATGTTGTTGCTTACTCCTCCACCTGGGCCGACCATCTCCACACATTGTCCCTCATTTTCAGTCGTCTCCGTGAGGCCTCACTCACCCTCAACCTCGCAAAATGTGAATTTGGTAGGGCCACTGTTACCTATTTAGGTAAACAGGTAGGTCAGGGGCAGGTGCGTCCTTTGGCTGAAAAAGTGCAGGCGATTATTGATTTCCCGGTCCCCCCGTCCAAGAAAGCGTTGCGCCGTTTTCTTGGAATGTGTGGGTATTATCAGGGTTTTTGTCGAAACTTTTCGGACGTTGTTGCTCCTCTCACAGGACTTGTGAGTCCTTTAAAATCGTTTATTTGGTCCCCCGCCTGTCAAGCTGCCTGCGAGTCGACCAAGGCATTACTGTGCAATGCACCAGTTCTCGCGCCGCCCTGTTTTACGCGACCCTTTAAGTTAGAGGTTGACGCCAGTGCGTGTGGCGCAGGGGCTGTCCTCTTGCAGGAGGACAGTCAGTCCATTGATCATCCCGTGTCTTACTTCTCAAAAAAGTTTAATAAGCACCAGCTTAATTACAGTACCATTGAGAAGGAAGCTCTTTCGCTATTGTTAGCCTTACAATATTTCGAAGTTTACCTTGGGTCTAGTTCACAGCCTGTCTCGGTATTCACAGATCATAACCCATTGGTATTTCTGGCTCACATGCAAAACACTAACCAGCGGCTGATGCGCTGGTCTCTCCTTCTGCAGGATTTTAACCTGCAGATCCGCCACAAAAAGGGTACGGAGAACGTAATCGCAGACGCCTTATCCAGGTGCTCAGCTTTATAGGAAGTAAACCTTTTAGGGGAAGGTTTACTTCTTGGGTGTGGGGGTGTTATGACTGGGGTCATATGTGTAGTGTTTGTGAGTTTCCTTTTGTGTCTTTTTGTTTTCGCTTTATTCAAACAGGGATGTGCCACCACCAGGCGCGGATTGGTGGACTGTCTCCCACCCGTCCTGTGATTGGCTGCAGCTGGCATATAATGGAAGCCAAGATGGCGTCCGAGGCAGAGCAGGCCAGAGCAGGGGAGGACAGCAGCAGAGCACAACCCTCGTCCTCCTCCTCTTCCAACCAGCCACTTGTAGCATACCGTGAAGCCGAATAAGTATTCTGTTTTTTTGAGTTGGTTTTCTCCTGTTTTAAAGTAGTTAGATAGGTAAGACTGATGTCATTATTTTTCTCCTTTGTTTTGGTAGGTCAGCGTCTTATTTTTTAGCTAGGTGCGTTTTTTTGGTTTGTTTGTTATATTGGGGATGGGCAACGGCGAAGCCGTGGTTTGTTTTTGCCTCAACATACCGGGTTTTTCTCAACCTAGAGCTTTTTTTCAATAAATATCCCCTATATAAACTTAAAGTGTGTGTGGCTACTTGGGAGACGGGGAAGATTGGGGCCTATTCATGTTGCACCTTAGGCACCCCTAGACTGGGGCGTAACACTTGTTTTCAGAATTTATTGCTTCAGGAGTTGTTCCATTTAATTAATGTCATGTCAAGCTTGAACAGGACCCAAACGCAGACTGGATTGGTGGGGTGAACAAAGATCCAA